TATGCAAGGTGGACACTCTTCTATAAAGCCGGTCCAGGGCTGTGTCATGGAAAAGCGGAGAAGATAAAGCCGGCCCCCAAGAAGATAAAGGGCAAAGAAGAAGGTAAAAATAATCAAGATAGGGATGCCGCTGAATAGGACCATAAAACAGAGGATGGAAGAAGACGTGATATTTATCTACCTTTTGTACCTCGTCGATTGTTGCTTATTTTTTACTTTACTTTTTATTGTATTTAGTTTTTTCAAAATGGTTGTTCTTGGAGTTTACGTTATTACTACATACTGTTGGTTTTATGTACATTTAATATCCGTTCTAATTACCTAAGTTCAAGATGCCGAATAAACGGTTTCTTTTCAATGCTTATTAAAAGACCCGCGTAGCAAAGTAAAGTGACAATATAATCAAGGAAAGTCACTACGAGCCCAATAAGGCAAGAAACCGATATTGAGAATTGTCCCGTTTTTCTTCGTACAGTCTGTAAAGCACCGGTTCAGAATTTATGAAATAACATAATTTTCAGCTTGGAAATCAATGGTAACAACAACAAGAAAGGTTACATAGAACACTGTAACATCTGTTTTAGGTGTCAGCGATTTATAACTGTTCTTTCGTGTTTTTTGGTATGTAAATTTTTAATGAGAATCCAATTAAAAAATTTTTTTTGACAGCTAATCATCCAATTTCCTTAGAAACCATTAATTTCTGCACCTATTTCAGTTGTTCTATTTTATTCACTGTTAAACAGCCTAAGCAGGAAACAAAACTGTAGTAGAAAATACAATTACAAAAATTTTGATAAGCTGATAAAATAGCAATGATCAGAAATAGTATAGTAACCAACAGCTTTTTTCAACTTATGCATAAATGGCCTTTCAAATTCATAAGGCTATTGTTTTTTCCAATCTTCCCTCTTTTTTGTTTGGCTCTGTCACTGAGTTATTAATGTTGCTAAGCAACAGCAAATTTTTCATCAAAAATTTCATTTTTCGTATTCAGTCTGAGCGTTATTCTGAAAAGCAACACTGTTGTTAATAACGAAGGAATCTACAGAATATCTGAGATACTAAATTTCAAGTAAAACTGTCAACTTGACTTAAACTTCTTCTACATTGCATACCTTTATTCTAT